TGTGGAGGGGGGGGGGTCTCCGCCTGATAGAGGCGGAAGCCCAAGCCACCGGAGCTATCTACGTCAAGTTTGTCAATTGAAAGAGGAAGGGGGACAACTCAAATGCCAACACAGAAATAGAAAGAGTCGTGCTTCAAAGTGGAATTCTTCTAAGATCCATTGCTCGATTTTGCTGCACGCTCTACTCCCAAAATGCAGAGAGACTTGCGAAGGCAGATCCGGGTTGATTGGTCCGGAAAGTCATGGGAGAGGCAGGCTAAGTAAAATAATATATTGGTGCTATTGATTATAGAATCTTATGAATCAAGCACGACACACTTTCTATATCTCCTCCACCTACAACGTAAACAACTTAGCTTAGAACACAACGTGTTCGCCACCACACTGGTTGGTGCCACAACAACAACATACCTAGTGTAATCCCACAAATGGAGTCTGGGGAGGGTAGTGTGTATGCAGACCTTACCCCTACCTTGTGCAGGTAGAGAGGCGGTTTCTGATAGAAACTCGGCTAAGGAAAGCATAATCACAATAATAAAGAAGATAATTATAAAACCGAAGCAGAAGCAACATAATCAAGTGTAATAGACATCTAAGAAAAAGGAAATACGAGAGTGCAACACATATTTTGAGCAAATTGTTGAGGCCACCTTGGCATGTCAATGAACAATCTTTCAATTTATGTAAAAGTATTCAATATTTTAACACTGCAATTGTCCAAGGATATTATGCTAACAGTAAAACAAAAAAAATCAATTCGTAGAAATTTTAGACCGATTATAAAACTGGACAAAATGATCCTTTATTCATATTAATCTATATCTATAGCAGGACAATTCAGACAAATACAGAAACAAGTAGCACGCTAATAACTGCATACCATAACATAATAAAAAATTTAAACAAAAATAAAGTACCTTATATGTTGCTTGGATACATGAAAACTCTAACCTTAGATCCCTGGAACCATTACAGAAAACAAATTTACAAAATTTTCTAAAAACAAATTTAATTAAAACACAATTAAATTAGGACTGAAGATAAAATGTACCATTGATTTAGGTGGCAGATTGGACTTGAATTTAGCTCTAACAACACCACTGTTACCATGTGGCCTACAAACTTTACCCCAAATACAACGATAATGTGAATTATTCTTCTTTGTTTTGGCCTTGTAAATATAAGCCATACGCTTTCCTAAGTACCAATCCACTTCTTCTTTAGTATTCACTCCCTCAATCTGAATCAATGACGTGCTTGGATACTGATTCGACTTCGACCTTAAAATCAAATATATTTTTTTCCAAAAAAAAAAATCAATTCGTGCCCAAAATCAATTGAAAAACACAAGTTAAATCCATAAACTTTGGAAAAAAAAATTAACTTTACCTTTTGTATCCAAGAACGGTACCTCTAACATAGAGCCTGCGAGAAGAAAGGAGAAAAGGGAAAGTAAGAATGTGATTTTTACAGAGGATTTTATGAAAAGGAGATGGAGATTGTAGTTGAAAATGAGAGAGTATTATACCTTACACGCTCTCCTTGGCGTCCCTTCACCATTTTCGACTGTGGGGCTCCACAACTGAGGAATTTGCCGGCAAGAAAGCTAAGCTAAATCCCTAGAATGTAGTAGAAGAGAGTTATTTATATTATTGGGTGGGGGTAGTATTTGGTTGAACAACGGGTGGGTTTGAGGCCCAGTTATAAATTGTTGGGCTCGACAATGATTTTGGGTCTAATTGAGAAGAAGAAGGTCAATGGTAGAAATGACAGGTAGCCACTTTAAAGGCTGCTATTTAGGAATTAAATTCAGTTAAATTTTTCTGGACAAAATATCCTGAAGTTAAAATTTTAATTCAAAAATTTCAGAGCAAAATAAGTACCGAATATTCTCCGAATAGTATTCCCAAAAATAGTTGTTTGTGCACCTACCCCATAAAAATGCAATGGTTGGCCAATTTTTGTGCTTCTTTCTTATAGTTAGCGACCACTTGAAATGTAATTCAAATACCCAATTTTTAATGTGAAAAATAAAATTTAAATAAAAATACCCCTAGATAGAACACGAAAAAATTCCAACACACTTTACTGGAGTTCGAAACTCACTACGAGCGAAAATGTTAAATCTCCATGAATTGGTGAATTGAGCTGTCTGTAAATGCACTCGAATGGAGAAGATGAAGAAATTAAGAAGAAGCAAAAACAGAGAAGAACAAAGCTTCAATTTTCATTACTGCACGTGCTATCCTTACAAGGCTGTATATATACATCTCTAATCTAATGAATGACAGTTGTAAATCAACTAACTAATACCCCACTAACATAAGTTAGTTAACACTGTTAGTAACTAACTAATTAACTAGCCATGGTCAGCTAACTACAGTCAACTAATCTTTAGTCAAGTAATTGTTGTGCAATTGCTGTTTAATTCTTCTACACCCCCCTCAAGCTAGGAGATATGAAGAGGTTTTTCATGCCTAGCTTGGATATGAGATAATGATGTTGGATTTGAGTGAGTCCTTTGGTAAGAATATCAACTTGTTGCTATGAGAAACTCAAATGATGAAGACAACCCAACCCTTGTTTGACTTTCTCCCATATGAAATGGCAATCGATGTCGATGTGCTTGGTGTCGACGCCCCCCTTTTCCTCTAACCGTGGGGTCAGAAATCGGGTATACGACATTGGGAGGACAACCTATTCCCTTTCGAGAATTGGGTTTGGAAGTTGAAGAGTCGCCACCTAATGATTATAGTGCATTAGGACACTTTAAGAAAGGTTTGAGATGAAGAGACCAGAGATTAGGGTAAGGGCTAGAAATTATCCTGAGGGGAAGGTGGTAGGCACCCCTCAGGATCCACAAGTGGGGTTCCCGACCATGTTACAATTGTGACTTTAAGAAGACAAGTAAGAGAACAAGCAAAGGGATTCACATAGCTTAGCAAACAAGCTTAAGAGTTGAAGAAATAGAGTGTTTAGAAAATTAGTCTTAAAAGAAAACTAAAAAAAAATAACAAGTAAAGGGAAAGGGGGTCCTAGGTTTATTGATTAATATGGATCACTTCAATGCAATATCCAGCAATCACTCCTCAGAAGAGGGGTCGCACGTGATATTAGCGCACCGGTCATCATATCCATATTCTACCCTTCCCACCCTGTTAAGGTGTTAAAGAGCGTTTAGTCTCGTTTACTTATTGCATGCTAATACCCGTCCCGACCTATCAGTCCCGGGGTATTAGGACTTCTAATCCTAAGAGGGAAGAAAGGGATGGGGCCTTTATGGAGTTTAAAGGATAAAATTCTAGTTTCGACATTCAAAACAAATATCAAATAAAGGGATGAGTAAACAAGCAAACAAGGCTCAAATAAACCCCTTAAATCAGACAACACTTAGTTTAGCATGTCTTAGCATATACTGATTTGGTCTTAAGTTAAAAATTAAGCGGCGAGCGGACTGGTTCAACACATATATTTAGACAGAAAGTCTGCATTAGGCAACTCAGATACAATTGTCAGAGATTAAGGTACTTAATTAACACGAGTGGGATTACTGATTCTTTTGAAAAATAGACAGAAAAGTTTTGAAGAAAAGGAAAGCCGCAGACTTAACAAAACGACGTAGAATAGTTCCCAGAAGACAGACCATTGAATTGCAGATTAGTAGAGAAAGAGCAATTTTAACAAGTTTCAAAAGAGGCAGATTGTTTAAGGAGAAAACGAGTTCGAGCTGCAGAACTTATTAAAAAAATGATAAAATACAGAAAAGTGATATGTAACTGAGTTGGAAATCGTTCGTCGAACTACCAGAAAAGGCAGTAAGTTTCAGAAAGCATGCAAGTTTACCAGAAGATTAGGTTTTAGAAAGAGTTGCACTAATCCGAGAAGAGGCTCAATGGTTCGGAGAACCACTGGTTTTTGTCCGTTAGTCATTGAAATCGTTACTGCTTTTAGACGAGTGAGACAAGTTTGATATTAAAAACTTCCTATAGACATGATCTCTACGAGTCATTTGTTTTAAACCATGTTAACAAAATTGTAAATAGATGCTGATTTGATTAACCCTAAAAATTTGCCTAATATCGTGAACATGCACATTCCTATAGACATGATATCTATATGCAAGATTGCAGAAAGTTAAATATTGTCTCCTATAGGCATGATTTCTATGTGATTGGATTAGAAACATTAAAAAGAATTAAAACCCTAAAGCATGGTTTCCACCCTTTGATACAGGAAAGTAAAATCCCTCACACACCCTTTTACTAGATTCCCCGAGTTTGTACAAGTTATTACACACCAAAAGAAAAGATAAAAATACATCAAAGACCAACAACTGCATCCGAGGAACCTAATTCAATCTTAATGTCTAATAATATGTGATTAACCAATTCTGAATCCAGATTTCCAAAGCCTTCTCTTATCCAAAGTGTTTTAGAGTTCTAAGGAATCTCAAGGATTCTCGGCATTGCTTTCACCCAGGATACCATTAAAAGAATAGTGTAGTGTGGAAGAGCCAGCCCTCAAACATCCAAGTTCAGTGAGAACTCAAGGGTCCCAAAGCATGGCTTGCAAGAAGGGGGCAAAACTTAATTGCTAAGAATGAGTGTAAGTGTGAAAAGGGGATGGGGAAGTCATAACAGATTGGTGGTCATACCCAGCCATAAGGCTGGCTGGCACACCCCCTGACCAACCTGTTTAGCCAAACAAATAAGAGCAAGACCTATTGAAGGTCAGACCAAGGTCTGGACAGTGATTAGGACACTGCCAGACCAAGGTCTTAGGCTCAAAACACACATAAGGGGAAAGGGGAAGTGGGAATTGGTTTGAGTTAAGGGGTTCAAAGAACCCAGTTCAAAGTCATGGGCAGCAATAACAGAGTGCTGTCATGGCTAGAACCATACTCTCATACAAAGAGGAAAAAGGAGAGGGAATTCACATAAGAAAAGTAGCCACAAAGTTGCAGAAACATAGTAAAGAAGAACATAACAGACTAAGAAGTAAACACATAGTGGAGGAGCATTATTTAAATTAAGAGTGACATACAAGTTGCAAAGTAAATAAACAGCAGAATAACAGAGTAAGCAGACAGCCAGAAATTAGCAGGAACAGACTTAAGTCTTCAGCAAAAAAACTTGAGAGTTCAAAAGGAACTCAAGAATGTTTCAGGCAGTAAAAGAGAAGAAGAGCAAAGTGTTCAGTGTTAGAAGCAGAGAAAACAGTAGTAGAGAAAGTATTGAACTTGTGTCGTCTCGAGTGTTTGTGTAAAAAAAAACTCTATTAGAACTTGTGAGAGCTGTGAGCTTTTTTAGTGCAAAAACGAGTAGACAAGAAGGCAAGAAAATAAAATCTCAGTCAATCAAATAAAATCTCCCTTAGTCAAAGGGATTTGATTTCAAACGAGAGTGAGTAATTAAGGAAAGGAAAATAATGAAAACCTTTCAGAGTAGCATAATAAAGGGTAGGTTCATATAGAGTCTATTTAAGGTAAGAAACTATAGTACACGGTTTTGAAAGAATAAGGAAACAAAGTAATCAAACAGCCGGAAAGTTTTAAAAGCTTTGAATGAACTTAGTCAGGAAAATAGGGAAGAGGCTAAGTTGTAAAAAATCAGTAGCAAATCAATCGAGCCTCAGTAAAAGGAGATTGAAATCAATCACAAGCTAATAGTATCAATTCAAAAAGAACAAAACCCTCGTATATAAGCATGCTAGTATCAAGCAAGAAAGAAAGATTGGCATAAACAGTTTTAGAATCATAAGCAAAAAAAGGAAAGCAAGTTTCAGTTCAGTCAATGAACTCAGTACAAATTTGAGAGCCTAGGATTTCTAGAGTAGAACCCTAGAACCAAAAGCTCGCAAAATCCCCAAATAGGGTTTCAGTCCGAGTAGGACACACAAAAAGAGAAGGCAAACTCAGCAATCCATATCATCTTCCAGAAACAGGTTCTTTATTGCTGCTAGTGCCTCGTCTTCCTCTGATCCGTACAAAGTGTCGGATGACTGAAAAGTCTGCTCCAACTGAGGTATAGGGTGCTCAAGCGGATAGTATGGTCCGCGCCATGGAGGTGACCAGTGGTTGAACTCCTCCCAAGTGTACTCATACCTTAGGCCAAAAGTGGTACCGTGCTTCTTCAGCTTGATAGGTTTGGTGATACCTTGCAGGTTCTTGCCAAGTCCTTTTCCGGGTTCATACCCGCTCCAATTCAGGATGCTTTCGATCTTGCTATCCCACCACTTGTCTTTGTCTACAGCATTGACC